ACAGGCAGCCGAGCAGCATGCAACAGGCACATATAGCCCCAGCCATTAAAAGGTATTTTATAGCCATCCTAGTTCTGTACTTGAAGGAAATTATGGGGATAGCCAAGGTAAAAGAATGAGAGACTTAGCAAGCACACAGACCTCCCGAAGGAAGCAGTATTGGAAGTTGAAACTTCAAAGCAGACAGGGGATTTAGCCACATTTTGCACCAGTACTTCTCAGGCTGCTTTGAAGATCCTACCTGCAAGCGCCTGCCCTCAGCCTACCAAGGTCTCGGGAAGAATAGTTACAAGAATTACTTGTAATTCTTTGATGCCTTGTGCCAGAAACTGACACATTAAAAAAAAAAAAAAGAGAAAACTTAAAATTGACATATTGGCACAAAAAACTAAACTCAGACAGGAATAACAGTATAGCTATACAATACACGTGCCCTGGCAGCAAAGCTGGCTTAAGAGTTTCCTATCGCTTCACTTTTCTCTCATCCTGACCTGCAAAATTGCTGCCGCTTCCGCTGCACCGACACTTCTTGTTCAAGACACCACACTGTAAACCAGACCAGCAGTCTGGTTAAACAAACGGAACTCCAGGAATAAAAGAAAATTTAAAAAAGCAGAAGTTCTTCTGAGCTGGACTGTTTCAGTGATCTGGTTTACGTCACAGCCTTGTAGACAGCTTGCTGGCCCTTGGAAATGAGGGGACAGTTAACTTCAGCAAAGCATCACAGTTTCTTAAGCTGTTTTCATTCCCAAATCCAGCAAGTTGTATAACTACAAAGATAAAGGCTGATGTCCTTTCCATGCCCCTGATTTTTGAAGTAGCACTTAAATGTAGAAACAGGAGGTGTTCACACACACTCAAAGCACATCCCAAATCACAGAGGAGGGACAAATATCTTATTTCCATATATCCAAAGAGACATGCTTCCCAAAGTTAAAATATAGTAAGACACCAACTTAATTTTAACAGCAATTTCTATCATTTTATGAAGCTCTCGCGTAGCTCAGCGGGAGTAGTTGTGTGGCTGTATGTAAATCCAACACCTCTAGCCAACATTTCAGAGGCCATTTAAGAGCTCTGGCATGCAGATACGTCTACACCTTTATTCACAGCAAGTTCCTTATTTTGTAAATAACCACATTAAAATACTTCTATATTAAAACAGGAGGAAAGTCAGGGCCTAGGATTTGTTAATGAACATGAGGTTAATTTATTGATGCACTACAGGTATATATTTCCAAGTCAAAAGCCTGGGGCCCAAACAAGCGGAGCTGCTGTGCCACCTTATCTCACGGAGAATGACAATAACGGTGGGATCATACGCCTTTGCTCTTCTCACCAGGCTGCGATTCCCACTGTGCCCATTGTGTCTCAGACAACACCTCCTTTAATCTGTGCCAGGCAGGGGCTCTGGCAAGCACATCACCAACCCACTGAAGCACAGCATGAGAAAGGAGAAAATTCAGCAACAAAGTGGGGCTGACAGCCCTTCCTATCGCTTTCTGTCAACAGAGGCTCTTTAACTGAATTTGGGGCAGACCTCATCCTAGGTATTCTCAATCAGTTTTTGCTTGTGAAAAAAAGGGCTGGAAGAGAAGAGGAAGAAAGAAAAAAAAAAACCACACAGAGAAGTCAGTTCCTCCCCCTTCATTCAGCATGTAAGAATGAAGCCAGTCTTTCCCTGGGCCGGGTGGAGCTGTGCAGGCATAACTCCAGCTCATCAAGCAGGAGCCAGATGAAAGATATCAGCGGGGACCCATTACGATCCCTCTCGCTCAGTATCTGATGTGAGCTCTCCTCTCTGTGCAAGCTACCTGCAAAACCTGATGCTGTTCAAAAAACCAATCTACCTTCACGATTAGCCAGCCTTAGGCTCAAGACTGATACACGGGAAAGAGCTTCACGAGCACTCTGGGAGATTTTACAAACACTCCTCCTTCCTTCTGCTGCAGCAGCACACCACCCAGGGACCGCACTCCTGGAAATCACTGCCAGGCTTCCCCTCGAACAGCAGCATCAATGCCACTGCCCTGGCCAGGTTCCAGCTGAGGACCAGGCACCCCCTTCCTTCCCTTTCCATCCTAAAACGTCACACTTCGCTCTCGGCCGTGCCATACGTTGTCTCCCTGCGGCAAGGAAGGGATGTTCCTTGGGATGTCTGGGCTGGACACTGAAAAAAAACTTCAATTTGAGTAAACAAAGGCCTGGCTCTTGCGTGCAGGCACCAGCCTACCCTGACCCGATGCCTGCTGTCAGCCACAATCTCACAGAAAAGGCCATTTTGGCACAGCAGGAGAGAATACAAGGTGACCTGCTCACTGAGCGGAAACTCGACAAGGAGCTTTCGAGGCTGCAGCGAGTATCTACAGTTGCAGGTGGGGGATCTCAGAAGGGCAAAGGTATTTACAGCTCATAAAGCATCCTGTGGAGGATCTCCAACAGCAAAGGCATTTTTATGGCTACTAAAGCAACTTTCCCAACACCAGCTGGGAGAGTGGGGGGGTCCTGAGCCCCCTGCGCCGTGCAGGTACCAACACCCATTTCTGGCTGGAGCGACGGCGCGCTCTTACATACCCGTCGAAGCGGACCGTGCCGGTCTGCTGGGTCTGCACGCGGTAGTGCTCGAGGAGCAGGCGGACCACCTTGGTGTGCCCGTTGCGGGCGGCGATGATGAGCGGGGTGGAGCGCTGCCCGCCGTGCTGGCTAACGTAGCCCAGCAGGTACTTGATGTCACTCTCGGAGCGGTTGAGGAGCAGCGCGGCCAGGGTCAGCACTCGCCCCTCGCTTGCCGCCTTGTACACGTACCCGGCCAGGCCCTCCAT